GCTTTGAGACAGAAATAGTTTTGACAAGTGACTATTGTAGCATTGGTACCAATAATTATGGGATACTTTTAAAGTAAACAGCTGAATAATTATAACTATAGATTTTATCTATTCTAAGATATGGAAAACTACTTTATTTCTCTGGAGTTTCTTTGCTACCCTGTTTTTATTCCAGATGCCTATGAATTATCATGCCTACCTATTCTAAAATATTTCTATGCATTTCAGACTCCTGAAAATGCTGTACAAAATGAAGCACACTGTAGCAATGAATTGGTGCACAAAAACTGATTATTTGTAGATGGGTTTGCATGTTCAAATGCAGATTGGACTGCAAATTTCTTGAGAATAATTGATATGTACTTCATACTGAGCATACTTAACATTTTGATGTCCTTTCAGCTTTCTCTTTTCCACTTAGCTTGCCCAAGCATTTGTGCATCCAGCTGCTAATTACCTCTTTCCTATAGGATAATAAATAAGATAAAATTGGCCATTAGGAAGATTTACATGATATCTGCAGCAGAAACTGAACCTGTGGCTTTAATAATGTATTCTTAGTCTGTGGAATATATCTATACTATCTACTTTCATGCAAGACTTGGTACATGTATAATGAAGACAGTCAAACAAGGCTTAGTCTGACTTAGCAATGAATTGAGTGTACGTAACTATAGAAGACTGTAGTTTGCATACATGGAGATGGGTTGTAAACGTTCTAAGGGACAGAAAAGCTATACATTTTGCTTAGCTGGTTCCTTAAGTGAAATTTATTGTAAAGGCAATTGTACTTTAATGGTACTTGAGATATTTGAAACCTAATAGTACTTGAGATATTTGAAAACATTCAGTTTTAGCATTTAATTTTTACAAAGGTGTAGTCATATTTAGGGTATGACAGCTTGTGGTATCTGCTTTAGAATTGACCAAAAGACGGTGATTTGCTAGATGAGATTATTTTTTTATTTTTTCCTAATTTTACAGACAGCTGCAAGGCAGTGTGGCAATTGCTTGTCTATCTAGAATTCCTTAGAGCAGAAAATATCCCATTAACCTGAAAATAAAATAAAAATGCTCTTTATTTAGAATAATCTTTGTTGGAAGTATCTTCCATTACCATTATTAGGTAATTATCAGAATGAAGAAACTAACAGCTAGCAGCCTAAGCTTTCAGTGTTGACCCTTAAAGCAGCTTATTCATAATTTGGGATGCTTCATAATGCTGTTATCTGAGCAGCTCTTATATGAAAGTAAAATAATTGCAATCAAATAAATTATATATTGAAATATATGTATAAAGGTTATTTTAATAAATATAACATTAATATTTTGTTTAAAACAATGGCACAATGCATTATCTTAGTTGGGTCAATTGTGAAAAGTGAGGAGATTCAATGAAATCCTCTTGAGCAAACTGGAGACCCAAAGTGCATCAGTGCCAACAAATGATTCATGCCAAGATTATAATACTTGGATAACCCAATATGGGATCCTTTGCATGTCAGTCAGAAATCTCCATTATACAAACTATAGCCCAATGATAGTCATTATGTAGTAAAAGCATAGCAGATACATACACACTTACTGCAGCCTGATGTCTACAAAATCAAAATCTCCAGATGATTAAAGAATCTCAAGATGCCAATAGAAGTTAAGAAACAAATTAAAAACATCATCATTATTATTATTATTATTATTATTAAATTTAAACCTCAGATTTATTTTAGGAATCTATTAAAACTGACCAACTGAAAGTAGATTAAGTGATTCAGAGCTTTGGGAATAATGATAGTGCTTCAGAGAAGGACAGCTATGGCCGAAGTTTGGAAGCTTTGCGAAGTTCAATTTAACAATATTTATCTCTATGATTGTTTTTTGTTATCTCACTACTTTCAATGCTTTTGGAAGCTCATGTTAGGAAGAAATGATGAAATTAAAAGGATAAATATTATATAAATTTACATTTTGGGGGAAAAACAATAACTTTTTGGGAAAAGGCATTCTCTGCTGTTTGATGGAAGCATTTTGTATTCACTGTGTAAGATTATCTATTGGGTATTGGGAAATAAACAGCAGAAATTCCAGATGAGATACTTCGATGAAATAAGGGTCAGGATAAGGAACTTATTTCTTTGGCTGTCTTTCCACTGCTCACACTAAAAATACCAGAGCAAATGGCAACTTTTCAGCATCTTGGCATGCAAGGTTCCCTCAAGGAAGACAAAAAGAACAAACTGCCAGGGTTGGGTTAGATATAGATTTCTAAGCAGTTCTAGACCTTTCTGGCAGCAAAAGTATTAGCAGGTAGAGGTCTTTGCTCAAAAGATATTTGAAAGGAACACAATGACACCCAAATAAGAAAATAGACCAAATGGATTAATGGTTAGTTTTTAAAAATAACTCACAGTAAATTAAAGATTTGGGGAAATATACATATTTAAAGATGACAGTTTTGCATGTATGGTAATAATTCATGATTGTAACTGCAAGCTTTTATCTCCTACCTTATAAAATAATCAAAATTCATATTATAAATACATGGGTTTCCAATATGCATACAGAGAAAGCACAAGATACTTACATGTAAGTACACTGTAGTCACCTATATTTTTGCATAGTTTTTAATATGTACTTTGTGCCACTTAACTCAAAGCATTATTTGGATAATTTCTATTTCATGTTTAGTGACGTAATTTCTTAGTAGCTAATTTATTATATAAGTGTTCACATTTATTATAAATCATTATCTCTAATGATTAAGAAGATAAGATTTAAGAACATTTTGGAGAAAACTAGTATGACCATGACAATTCTTTGTAATTGCATGTTTTGTTTTCAATTGATTAGAATTGTCTCTATTCAATGGAATAATAAATGTAAGAGTTTTATATTCCTCTTGGTAACACTTTATAATAAGTGGCACTAAATTACACAGTAACTGCAATGTTACATGGAAGCACATGTAACATATGTGATGATCAAAATGCTTAATGTATGTATGAATACATAGTAAGCAATGCTTTTACAATAAAACATATTGTTTCTTTTCACTGAGAGATTCATTATAAATAGGTAGCCTACATTGGAAATAATTAACTCAAGATGTCCAATTCACTGGAATAATTGGAAATATGATTTTAATAGCAGGAAATTCCAGTGTAAGATGGTTTGCCTTCCATACCTGTGAAAAACAGGTAAATGTTTAGGGTTAGGGATTGTTCTAGCAGCAATTAGATTTGCAAATGGCATTCCAGAATGAAAGATAACGGACCCATATATTCTGAGATGCCATCTTCTCCTTTTATTAAAAAAATAAAGAATTATAATGACTGCAAAAGAGAACTATAGTAATCAGTAGCAACTTGATGTGCTGGATTGATGACAAAAATACATTCTCAGTGACAACTGTCTTGGTTCAAATTTCATTAGTTGCTGTCTTCAAATCATGATTATTTATACCTGTCTTCTATGATAAAGCAGGCAATTAAATTGTCATAAACTTTTGGCATTTTATTCTAATATATTAATCTAAACTTGGAGTTCCCAAAGTGGATCTAGATTGGTATAATCACCTTTTGTTATTATTCTTATAAATTATACAAGATGTTGAATACATGCATTTTCCCTGGATGGGTAAAGCTTGTAAATATATATGGCCCTCTTATTCATCCTATTATACTGAACATTCAGTTTGGAAAGGGTCATCTTCCATCTCCTGACAGTTTATGCGAGCCTTATCCAGTAGAGCTTTCCAGATACGTTGGCCTACAGCTTCCATCACCCTGACAACATGACTCTGCTATGCAGCAACCAGGGACTAGGTTCAGGAAACAAAGCTTTATACTGAAGCTTTAGTACCTTAAGTATCTAAGAGCAAACCTAAGAGAAAATATCTTGGCCAAGATGGAATCTACCATCTCCTTTTGCTATCTGGCTTTTCCCATGTTTTTCTGATCTGTACTGGTTGAAAAGGCACTGAAATAGGAAGCAGAATTATTTGGGATCTGCTCAAGTGCTAGTGCAAAATCAACACAATTGAAGGACATTGATAAAAATGAGGCAGCATTGCTAGAATTATAGCTCCAAGTATAAGAGTTTTTACATGGGATAAGTAAACTCAGTTGGGTTTCATGCAAATCAAACAAAGGTATGAAAAAGTGTCAGCATTGTTTTTTAAAATAATCTGATATAATATTGCTATTTTATCTAAACGGGACTGAATACATCAAAACAGAGAAAAGTGGAGAAAGATTAAAGGCCAAAATCATTATATTAAAGTTTGCTCATTTATGGAATGTATCGATCTAAATAAAGTATATTTTTATTCTGTTTCAAAAGCTTCCTTTGTTCTCAATTAAAAGATTGAGAGTGTCTGATTTAACTGGGTGCTAGAAAGTGATGATAGACAGTGATTTTTCATTCTGGTGGACTTTCTCATTGCCTTTTAGCCTGCTGTACATCTCAATGTGCAAGGAAAGATTTTTTTTAGTCTACTACAAGCAAAACTTAACAATCTAATCCCTATCTCTGTTGCAGAATTCCATTGTTTTCTGTATTCTACAGTGACTAAATATTTTGAAATGCTTACATTGAAAGATGCCTAAAGATATCTGGAAATCTCACTTCATAGGGATGAATAACTAGATAAAGTATTTCTATATAATTTAAACATAATAGAATTGATAAAAATGTATGAATGTGTAAATGTAACACCAGTAGGCATATAATTTTAGTAAACATAATCCTAATGCAGCAAGGCACCTCAACACGTTTAAGTGCATTGCTGGCCTTTACCTTAGTTCTACAAATCAGTTTTTGAAAACATGACTATGTTATAAACCTATACTAGCTTCAATGTGTCTAGTACTTCTACCTGATTCTCTCAAATTACCATACTAGATTATCATATTATTGCATTTTTTTCCACAGATTTTTGAATGAACTGTAAAAAACAAGCATGCAGTCACATCAATGCAGACGTATTTCTTTAAAATATCATACTGTATATGATTTATTATGTTAACACTCAACCACATCATATTATTTATGTTCTGTATACTTTGAAAAAGTGCTGCTTGATTGATGGTCTCTCTCTCTCTCTCGCTCGCTCTTTTTTTTCTCATTGAAATTAACAAAGTAATTTTTTCCTTCTAACAAAAACAATTTAAAAACTACTATTGTCCTTAAAAGGTATATAGCCTTTGGATAAATAATCTGACACAATACCTTTGATTTCCATTGACTGTGACACATGATGCCATATTCAAATGTTACCCACCCTCCTTCCATTCCCCACACAAAAAATAAACCCAGGACTTAATTCTTTACAATAGGCCATTATGCTTTTAGACTTCACCAGTAATAGTTTCTATATAGAAATGTATTCCTCTTTGTCTTATTTTTAAAGTGTGCAGTACTTTGGAGATAAACAACAATTTCTACTATTTTAGTCAATTATGTTTACATGGAACCAGAAAGTAAGAGCTTATCTGGTTATTTCATTTATTTTTATTTTTGTTTGTTGTTGCCTTTTTTGGTCTGGAAGAGGAATATTTTATGTTGGATTAGACTTTTTAAAAATTATTATTGTTCTAAGCTGTCCTTTGGCCCACACTCAACATAATATCAGAGAGGTCTTTACCGTGGAGCTAAAAGCATGGCAGATATTCTTGATCATTCACCGTGACATAAGTTTGTACCTCACAAAATGCATAGACAGAAATTTAATATAAAGGATTAGTCATTTACCATATACACAAAACATAGAGAATTGTTGTTGTTGTAACATTTTCTGTTTGGGGTTTGGCAAATCCAACATTGATAAGCAGCTCTGGAACTGCCAAATTATGTATTGAATTTTTTAGTAACTTAGCATTTAATCATTAATGTGGTTGTAAGACAAAACCTGAGGCTGTGCACTGGTTGTTAGCTTAAAACTACCTTTCCATATAACATTGTGCTTCCATTGTATAACAAAGAGAAATTAACTGGAACTAGAAAAATTTGTTGCTGAACAGTGCTAGGACATACAGACAAAAAATACTAATACATGTTATCTACTCAGAATATTAATTTAAGTTATATCTAAAGGGATATAATGGACATTAGAAAATGCTTACTTGTGACTGACTTACCTACAGCCCCAAAAGTTAAATATGTATCAAATAATGTTTAATTGGATTTATTATATGCACTATATACAGATATTAAAATGCCTTGCAGTTTTGCCCCATGAACACGTTCAATTTGAGTAGGCAGATAGACCCACATGAAGCAAATAAATTAAAAGGAATACAAATTATAGAAATATATATGGAAGTCTTTACGATTCTAGGAGCAGTAAAAGAGCTGGACAACCATTTTCAAAATGGAGCTACATAATCCATCACCTTGGATTCTGTGTAGACAGGAGTGTATGGTGTTGATTACCACACAGAAGTTGCTTTTAATACCAGTATTTCATTAAATAAAAGTTCTGTTCATACTCCTTTGCTGCCATTTGCAAACACACAAGAAATTATAGTAGAATGATTTCATTAGTGTTTCTTAGGGCATAATGTTTCAATGCTCGGCTGATTTTGAATTACAGACGATATATAAAACATTCTTTGTAAACCTCTAATCTTACTTGTAATGGTTTATGTAAGTATATTTAGGTCCTCACCTAAGAACATTTGCTATGAAAATGGTCTGATGCAATATAGGTAAGGACCATATTAAAAGAAAATAAAAGGAACACTTTCTTTAAAATGTAGAAGAACCAAATGTGAACAGATGATGATTAAATTTGTTAAGGCTGTATATTCAAGCACTGTATGTTAAAAGAGCAATGTATATGATGATTAGGCAATAAGAAATGTCCTGCATTATGAATGGTATCATAATTAAAGAAAAATTATGTTCATGGCTGATTGTTGGTACAAACTGGCAACTGAGAGCAATTATGCACTTTAACAAGGCTAGAAAGGAGACATGATAAATTAATTCAGAAAGATGAGAGCCAGTTTTCTCCAAGAGTCAGCCTTGTGGATAGTGGTGTTCAAAGAATCTAAGTCTGCATCTATATGAAATATTCTTTCTTCTCTTCTGCATTAACTTGGCTGCCTTCTGCATTGATAATGGCTGTGTCCGCATCAGGTGCATCTTCAGCTCCCTTAGCTTCATTTGTTAAATATGTTCCTGTAGGAAACAGTGTGATTAAAAGACAAATGTTAGAGATATAGACAATTTTGATATTGCTTTAGTGATGGGATTTTCTAACACAAAAATAATTGGTCTGGGTGTGGACCAGGTTAAAGACCATATAGCATTCTACCATGAATGTTTCTCAGATTCAGCAATTAATCTATCATTAATTTGAATGATTTTTGTATTTGTTAAAGTAGTAGTAATTGTATAGTTCAGCTATCATAACTATCTATCAATTGCACAGAAATGGTCTGTTGTACTATAAACTGACAAAAATTCATTAATAAGAAGCTTTGGAGAAAGGCCTTAATTAGTTTTGGATGCACTGTGATATAAAACACAGAACATTTCTTCATCTTCTTAAATCAATCAAGCAGCATGATCTCAAGTTTCAAAATTGGCACTTTGGCAGTTCTATTCCTTCAACAAAAATGTTAATTGCACATAATGATTAATACATCATTTAAAAGCAGCTACGCTTTAGCAATACTTTTAGTTCCAATTTCATTGGAAATATTTTAGATAAATATGTATATTGATATATTTGCCTGCATTCTTGCTGTAACCTTCAATTTTGTTCTGCATTGCAGAACTATCTCTATTATGTGGATTTATTTGCCAGTTTATCATATCTTGAATCTACAACAGTAACATGTTTATTTTTATTGTTTAAAACAAGTCAGTTTCAATTAATGGGAAAGTCAGCTTAGTCTGGAAATTGGAACATGTGTTTGTCCTCCTAAAAATGACACTTAGAGTGTCCACTGGACTACTCATATAGCTTATACTTTTACTATAAAAGCTAGTTAATTAAACTATTATCTGGAAGCTTATGTAAGTTATATGGACAAACCCTAGCCCAAGAGTTTTGTTAATCTTCAGTAATATTCTAAACTTCCAATAAATCAGGAATATTTTTAATAGATGCTTATTCTAAAGAACATGGATGTTTCTCCTTACATTACTGATGAAAAGTAATATCTATTTGGTAACATTTAACAGGCACTGGAATGTTCTTGAAAAAAAGACTCGAAACTAAGCTAAATATATTTCTGTTTTGCAAACTGATATTTAATTCATACAAAATGCAGTCTTAATATGAGATGAAATTAGACATTACAGGGAATCGGTATATTCACATAGCAAATGCATTCACATATAAAGTAGAAAGCATATACCATTATTTAAATAATGAAGAGAGAAGTTGTAATCACAATCACTTATTCCCAGTGTATCTTATTGTAATTAGTGTGTTTGAGAACATGTACAACAGCTTTTGGATGAAACTGACTGATTACACTAGACACAGTAAGGTAAAAAAAAAATCACACTTTGATTTAGTAATATCTATGAACCTGAATGAGGACTAGTCAGTTTATATCTCTTTAAACAATACTCACAAATCTGTATGCCTATTTACCAGCCTTTGTCATAGCTACTTTTACATTTATTATAGTATTGAATTACCTCTAAGAAGGGAATAAAGTGCTAATAATGCTTTAGTATTTATTTTATTTTATTTTTTAAAAAAATGTATTGCCACCTATTCACTCACGGCGACTCAGGGTGGTTTACAGGAGATAAAATGACAGACATATTATAATTTGAAAAGATTAAAAATACGTAATAGTAACTTTGAAAAAAAAATAGGTTTATTATTTTCTTTAATAGCTTTCTCTTGCTGTTATACAAATGTGTAAATAAATTTCTACCATCCTGCAGCAAGCATTTGTGGATGATAGAAATTGTAATGCAAAAACTTCTATATGGCACCATCTCAAAGAAAGCTCGTATAGCTAGATTAAGTTGAATTAGTTTTTCCAAGACAAAGATGTTTCTTATGATAATCAATCTCAACAAGCAGAGAACCAAACTAAAAATAATAATAACATTTTGTTCTTAAACTATTGCAGCAATTAAGAGAATCGACATCCTCCCACCCATGAAAAGGAAGAGATTCTTATTTCAGGCTAGCTGTTTAAAGATGAAAAGTTATTTATAAACTTGTCTGATTTGCTTATTAAGAATTAAAAGCTGCATTTAAGTTTTCTGACTGAACATACACCCTTATAAAGAAGTCTCACTGATTTAAATAGATTACTATCATGACACAAAAGCTATGTTGCCTTTGTTACATTCTTCTTTTAAAAATGTTAGATTAAATTCACTAGAAATCCCTAATACAATTCTATACCAGAAGAAAATAATTATCCAGCATTTAAATGAATTTACTCTTAAGTAGCTATTAATGGGACACAATATTAATTGCCCCAAACCATATTTTAAACATAAATATCTAGATCTAGAGATATTATATAATCATACAAAAAAGAGCACTAGAAAGCTGTTTAAGTGGATTTTGTACGAAACATTCTGTCCATGGTTATAAAAAGCAAAATCTAAATATCTAAAAGAGAAAAAAATTCAAAAGTTGTAAAATAACTTTTAGATAAAACTAAAAAATGGCATCTTTTAATCAACCTAAATAAAAGTTCAATGAACTGTCTTGATGGTCAGAATCGGCTAAACCAGCCATCAACTGAACTGACTAAGTTCACTCATTCATTTTTACATATCTCTGAATAATAGTATATTTTTCCTGGAAAGATTAAAAAAATATAATGACTTTGGAATTTAATAATCAGTATTTTTCTCATTATGAGCTTTTCAATACATATTTGAGGCCAATAATTTATTATTGCTAGTGGGTGTTTGGGTGTTCATATACTTTATACAGAAGATTGATATAATAAATTAAAGAAAACAAGTAAATATACAAATACAAGTCTATAGCATTGCACAAACCAATATCTCTACTGCCTTTTCACTTGTCAGATCCTCTGAGTCACTGACTTCCAGCATGACCTTGGATAAATTAATAGATATTATTTTGCCACAGATAATCCATCTGTAAAATTAATGGTTTTTGCAGACACAAGGATAAAAACGAGGACCTTAACAAACAAACAAATTCTGATGCTTCCTTATCAGAGCTGAGTTTTTATGGGACCAAGAAAAGAAGATAAAAGTTAACTTCAGTTTGATTAAATCCATCCTACCTTTATGTCTTGCCAGATATCGACCAAGAAGAATTATAGAGCATAGTGTGACAAAGACAACAACAGCTACTATCCCTCCTATAACAGCATGATCTGGTACATTTCTTCCAGCCAAAGTATTGGGATCTAGTAGGGAAAAAAGTAACAAAAAGGTAGATTATTTAAGATGGTATGAAATGACCCCCAAGTATCAACACTGAAATTTAAAATAACATGAGATATTTTCTGTGTGTGTATGTGAAAAGGAGGAATATGGCATTTTAAGAATACACAGAGGAGTTATTTCCCTATTCTTTTCTTATCACCAATATAGCAGTACTTGTAGTCCCAGACTGATACAGCCCTCTGGACATCACAACACAAAAGCAGGACAAAAAGAAAAAGAAGAAAAATCTCTATCAGAAGTTAGTAAATGGGAAAGGTTTCTAGTCCTGTCTTCACAGCTCTATAACTGAATATCTATCCATGGTTATTTATAGAAGCAAAAATAAGGAGTTGAGAATTGAGGATCAGATAGAATCAGTAGAATAGACTCTACATAATACATAATTTATAGGAATGAATCTCAGTGGGAATTCTTTATATATTCCTTTTTGTCATTTCCATCCTCTTTCTCTAGAAATAAAAAAAAGAGGAGAGAAAAGGTATAGCTTAGCAAGTCCCAAAGTTGACTGAATCTGCATGAATTGAACCAGATAAATATAAATGCAGCCCTAAAGAATACGGTTCATTTTCAACTTTTGAATTTAAAGCAGCCTTCTGATTTATGCTGGAACAAATTCAAATAGCTGTTAATAATCCATCAGATATTTTACACTGAAAATCTTGCCATATTGACCATTTATTTTTGAAAACCTTGTTCTCAAGTAGCAAAACTAGTATTTTGTCTATTAGCCTTAAATATAGCTTTCTCCACTTGTCATTTCTTAGATATGTTGGATCTCCTGTGCCAGAATTCCCATCCAGGAGAATGCCATGATGGAGACGATAGCTATGTATATTGAAGTGAAAGAAGCAGCTCATGTAATGTTAAAATGTATTTGTTGCACTTAACAAAACTTCAACTCTATAATGATATTGTTAACATATACTGACATCATGCTAATAGTTTACATGCATAGAATTAATTTTAGCAATTATTTTGAAAATTGCTATGTATATTTTGTAACACATGAGTATTGTAAACAAAGATTCTCTTTAAGAGTAATTCTTAATTCCTGCATATGGACTAAGGTGTTGATTGGTTCCTATCAACCAATGTGAAATACATGTTAGTTTCATCTTTCTTATAGCCCCATATCTTATAGCCCCATATTTCCTGTTCCTTGAATAGAATAATCACTAATAACTTTATTGTCACTTTGAATGTACACTAATAGGCATACATTAAAATGAAATTTCATTGCATTCAGTTCTCAAAGGATCACACCTCCATATACACTACATAAATGTGACAAAAATAAATAAATAAATAAATAAATACAGAATTATGCATATACCCACATATATTATATGACACAGAGGAACAACAGTCTAGTTTGCGTTATGTATACATGTACATAACAAATCTTGCAGGTTTACCAGACGGATGGCATAGGGAACAAAGCTATTATAGAATTGGATAGTCCTGCTAAAAATACTTCGAAACCTCCTCCCAGAGGGGAGCAACAGAAACAGACCGTAAAGTGGATGTGTGGGGTCTCTAACAATGTTTTGAGCATTAAGCACATAGTGCTTATAAGCAGCATCCTGAATACCAGGAAGCAAGCTTCCTATAATCTTCTTGGCTCTCCTTACCATTCTCTGTATGGACTTTCTATCTGAGGCACTGCTGCCACCAAACCAGACAGTGATGCAGTTTGTTAAAATGCTTTCAATCATGCCTCTGTAAAAAGTGGCCAGGACAGAAGGAGAAAGATGTGCTCTCCTCATCCAACACAGGGAATGCAGACGTGTGGAGAGACCAATTTAGATTCTTAGTTATCTGCACCCCTAGATACTTAATACTGTTGGCCACCTCTACAGCTGTATCCTTGATACTGAGTGGTGTATGACTATGCCGGGTCTTTCTGAAATGATCTCCTTTGTTTTATCATTTGTTTTTGTTTTTGCTTCTTCTTCTCACAGATCAAAGAATGCTATGGCAACACAGAACAGTAAGGCCAACTGAGAGGAGGGAGAGCCAAAAAGACAAGACACAAACTGCTGTGAATAAAAGCTGCCTGGTTCCAAGCTCTAGGACTTGTGTTCCAGAACTGAAATTTCAACAATACCTCCTCTACTCTTGCTTCACAAGAAAGTCATTCACTAATGCAACATGTTTGGTTCTTGATCATATTACAAAATAATCAATGTGTCTAAGATGCCCCAGTAATTCAGCTGGTATAATTATTTTTATTGTTCTAGATGTTGTTGTCATTATTATCAATATTATATATGTCCTCTTCATGATGGATTCTACAATGGAACACAGAAAAGGAACAAGAAAATAATCTGATAAAACAAAAGATAATAATGTAATCTGTCTGCTCAAAGGCAATTAAAAGACATGCAAAATGTCTATTAAGTATGTGTACTAATAGGATATGTTTAAATACATGGTATAAAAACAAAATTCTCTTCAAAAACAGTCTGATACTGCCACAGATGTTATCCCACAAATGCCTGGATAAATAATCATGTTTTAAGTAGCTGTTTAAAACAAGAAAACATGGCACACAACTGTATTTATTCTGGGACAGCTCTGAAAATTGGACACTACATTAATACTGATTATTCCTAATCAACATACTGCAAGCCAGATAGGTGGAACCAGATTCAGAGCATCCCCATAGTAAAACATGGGTTGGATGATATTGGAAAAAGCATCTTTTCTAATACTTAGAATGGAAGCTGTTTGAGATTTTACAGACTCTATCAGTGTTTCTCAACCTTGACAATTTTAAGACATGTGGACTTTAACTCCCAGAATTCCACAGCCAGCATTGCTGGCTGTGGAATTCTGGGAGTTGAAGTCCACATGCCTTAAAATTGTCAAGGTTGAGAAACACTGCGTCTAATTAGTACTTTGGAAAAGGCTAGAGATGTATTTTGAAAATAGGTACTAAATCATCCAATTTACCTGAAGGCTTATACATACACACACAAACACTATACCAGCTTTGACTTCTGTGCTATCTTTAAGGATCATCCATGGAATAAATTGCAGCAATCAAAATGTTAAATTATTAATATTTGGGGCCCTGAAGCTATACATTCCTGGGCAAGTGTGGTTACAGCTAATCCTCAAGTGAAAACTGGCATTGGTCCACCTTGAGAAAAAAAATTGCCTATGAAGAATCAAAGGGAACCCCAAAGTTATACAAATCTTCTTTTGAGAGAAATACAACACAATCATCCCTCTCATTCTTCAGTCTGAGAGCACATCCAATGGATCTGGATTCAGCTTCAAATATAATCAGTATATAAAACACAGATATTTAGATATTTAAAATTATTATTATTTAAATTATTTTAGTAAGGTACCCTTAAAAATATGAGCTGATGATACAGGAAAGTGACGTTTTTGCCATCTCAAAAAAATCTTTACAAATAATATATGGCAAGCTAAAACACAATCATTATTGTCAAACCATTAAGCATACAGGAATGTATTATGTACAGAACAATGTGTTATCTTTTTAGTTTTCTGATAGAAGACTAATCCCTTGAGTGAATTACAAAAAGTAAATGCATTTTCAGTTATCTTTTATCTTATACAATTAATACTTCCCTGCTATGTTCTTCAGGGTGAATTAAAGGGAGATTTTGATTCTCTCTCTCTCTTACATACACACACACACACACACACACACACACACCAGTAATTTGGGTAAAAGTAAGAGGGAGATTACACATAAAGGCCTGCAACTCCCAGGAAGTAAATATGTGTGGAATGATGTGGGGAAAGAGAAGAAGCATTTGCTTGCAAATAAAAATCAAATATGTCCCCATCTCCTTTCCCATCAGAGTGTTGATAATTAGTATCTGCATAAGATGTTAGTTGTATATTTAATAGTTTTGAAACAGTTTGTTTTCCGTATTCATGTACATTTCTAAATGACATTCTTACCAATGGAACATTTTTCCCCAAATAAAGCTGAAAATGCTCCTGTTTCATATGACAACAGAAATTGAAGAATTTTGGGACTTCCGGTGGCAGGCGTCTTCGTCGGTCGCAGCTGTTTGCTGCCTCCCGCCTGTTTCGCGTAAAAGCCGGTTTGACAGCTAGCATCAGCTGTCAAACGGCTTGATACCTTTCCCCTGGGCATAAGGGGATAGGTGAGCTGCCCGGGGTAGGAGTTGAGTTCCCGAGTCGTCCTATATGGACGATGTAGGTGAG